CCCCCTTCCCTGGGAACCAAACTAAGTCTAGGTTATGCTTTAGCGTGCATCAGCCATTAATTGTATGATGCTAGCGCACGCGAAAAGTTTGGAGAGAACATAAGATGCGTACGAGCTTCTTGTGTGCTCCCTAAACTTGACACGTTCGACATAATTTCGGGACTCTGATGACTTGCTGGGGTAATGGCTTATTGTAATATACAGTGGTTCAAATGTAATTCTGGATTTAAGTCATTTCGCTGAGGGAACCACAATTATTTAGCCATTTAAAGTTAGCCTTTAATTACGAGATTTTGACTTGTTCTAATTTGGATCTTCTTGAAACAATGTAAAACGTGTGCCGAAGAACAAGTTTGGTTTAGTCACGGGTTTCTTTGTATTTCAGATGTTGAAGATCAATGATCACCAATGCCTCTGATAAAAATAAGTGTGTTATCACTATTTTCAACTAACCTTGAATCTGTCTGGTGGCGTGCAAAATGCTAACAACTTCTTAAGGGCACCGGATCTCGGGATCACTGAAGGAGGTCTGTTTAGAGGAACAACCAAGCTTGAAATAGGAAGGGTTAGAAAGCTGCAGGATTTTTACAAAATGAGGTTTGGCCAAATGTCCTGAGGTGGGGAGGAGCATGCTGCGATCACGTGTAAGTATGAGTGGAAAACCACTGGAAAATTACGGTTTTTCCAGGCCCGGGCCGAGTCCAAGAGTCAAAAGTCCTCTCAGGGAAAAAAGGCAGGCCGGAGGACCGAAATCAATAAAAAAACAAGCAAATGTACATATGGAGCGAGCCGTGGAAGTCGTGTAGGTCTGTCAACCCTCAAGTGAAAACCACAAGCCATGAAAATTGGCGACCATGTTACCGGTACTTTGACAAATGCAAAATTTGAAATTATTCTACTCTATAGATAGCAATAAAATTTCGCAACAAATTGAAAAGCACCAATAAATTATACAGGGAGAATATTTCGCGCTTATCGAAATTTCATAATCGGCGAAGTAGTCACCCAATATATTATAAGGGGAGAATATTTCGCAGGTATTGAAATTGTCACCTGATTAACGGCGAAGTAGTCAACCAATGTATTGTACAGAGAGAATATTCCGCAGTTAATGAAATTTCATTAACGGCGAAGTACTCACCTAATATATCATACGGAGAGAATATTTCGCAGTTATTGAAATTTAGTTAACGGCGAAGTAGTCACTCAAAATTTTATACAGAGAGAATATTTCGCAG